CGACATAATAATATATTATACTAAAATAACTAAAATATTCAATACGCCTATTAGTGGAAAATTATTGATGTCGAAGATCCCGTGCAGATAGGTAAAGATTATGCAGTGTTTTTTTTCTCATGTTTTTGGAAACACATATTATATCCTATACCGTAGAAATCATTTAAATAGTTGAGACATTTGATGTGTTTGATGAATAATTTATAAAATCTAAACACAGTTATCCATAAATGGTAATAATAATGAAATATTGTTATGACAGTGAAATCTGAATTTCGGAATTAGAAATAATAAGTTAATAATCATAAAACATACGGTAGGCCTATGAAGGTACCTATATACCACTATGAATATATTTTGAAAGTGCAACAAACCCTACGGTATTACCATTTCCTACCAATTTTACTGAGTTTATCAACATTATGCATTTATGCGTTTCATGTATCATGGCGTACTAAATATAAGTACCTACTTACAAATAGTATAATATTGTTTACTAATATGTACATACCTCTCAGGGGCGGTTTCAGGATACACATGCAGGACAGGCCCGGTTACAAGAAAAATTTGTACCAAATATACATTCTTCTTAAGGAGTTAATGTATTTAAAATCTACAGTCAATCATAATATTATTAACTAATGATTTATATTTTTTATATTAATCATTTTTAATTGTTTCATAATATAATATTATATGGTTGTTGATGGTTCGCGGATCAATATATGTTTTTCCTAGAACCGCTTGAGGATCGCCAATCAATTTTATTTACGGATAAATCATTGTGCACGGCACACTATGTAATCGATTCTCGGCCACCGCAATAAGCGATGTATTCATATTTCACATTCAATGTTCGGTGTGTTAATGTAAAAAATAAATTTACAATTTTCTTGTTTTTAATTCAAAAATGCATATTTCTGGTATATTATAAGGGTTCAAAATTGGAGTAGACGCGGGCCTACCCGCTGGACACGCTACTAGTAGGTACCTCGAAGTATTTTAAGTTTCGAACAGAACTCGGGCGGGCGTCTTTATAATGTGAAAAATGGTGATAAATCATTTCACTCGAAAAGCGGCATCATGTGGATATCAGCAGAGTAATAACTAAAAATAAAAACATTAAAAAAACGGTTGATATAATATTTCTTTAACGCCTGTTCGTGCTCTTGTCACGGTTTCAAAAAGAAAACCATTGGGAAATCCTGAACACGAATGACCCTATTGATGAGTGATAATGTGCGTTGGGTTCTCAATCGTGTGGCTCACAACTTGTGGATTTACCCGAAAACATATTATCTCAAGAAATCCGTTAAAATTAAGACGAGAAAATTGTACTGTACCCTACATATGTAACCGCTCAATAAATGCCGATAATAGGTATGGCAAAAACACCAACTCACTCGGCTCGATTAACTGCAGATTACAGAAACGATAATTCATAGGTGGCCCCTTAAGTTTGCTATAAATTAATATAATTAATAGTCAGTAGATGTAGGAAACTAATACGAGTTACGGTGGTATCGTATTTATGCCGAAACCATTGTTGTAAAAAATACTTTTGTTTGTTAGGTTACAAGACAAAATGTATTAGCAAATTACTATATTTTTTTGTTTAACAATTAGTTGAATCTATTTAATTCAGATGTGACATTTTATTGTTAATTTTATACTATTTGTAATTTTAATATTTCAAATAATTATTTGAAAATAATAAATATTTTATTGAAAGTCGGAAAAACGAAGTTTGAGGAAAGTATATTATTGAATACTCCAGTACCTACTTACTTATAATATTCAGTATATTATGATGAAATATAGTATTTAAAATGTACTCAAATACTATTGTCAATGGACAGTACCTATTTAAAATATGTATACAATACCTAAAAAAAATATTTGAACTCAACCAATACCTACTATATGATACCTACTTCACAACACTGCCTGTGTCGACAAGTTATTGCTATAAATAATATATTATATAGGTACCATTATATTATTATGGCAACTGTTTAAATGGTTTTATTAACACTAAATACCTACCTCGGCCAAAATTTGATTAAACACATATCTACTTAATGCACTCGGGCGTTATCTATATGTTTTCCACAGATTTTTTTTTTCGTGTCATTGATCCTCATATTATCATATTATTATTATCGTAGCAGTTGTGTAAATGTCCGAACATGTTTTCCGACTCCCACAGTAATATAATATACGTGACATGGATCACGCATATACTTAGGTTTAAGAAAACGTACAACGATCAGAGATTAATTTTATTATAACATATTATGTATAAATGTATAATATTAGTTATATTATTGCAGTCATTGGTCACGTATTACAATTCCCCCCCCCCCGATTCGCGGCCTCAAATTTAACGTTATCAAGCTTTCTAGAGAAACGTTCTACACACAATACTTAAGGTACATGCGTAAATTATGCACTTAAGCCATAGTGTAATGGTGATGGATGACGACGATTGCCATTTACAATATTTAATACAATACGGTATGATGTGACGAATTTTTTGTACAAATATAGGTGTCACAGATTTTTTATGAACCATGATTTTATGAACGAACCGGAGAGGAAACTACGCTGCAGCATTCTTCCTAACAATAATTACATTTTATTTTTATTTTGGCCACCGAATTCAGTATTCATTTTGATTCTTTGATTTAATTTTTTGACAGAACCAATAGGCTATTTGGCACTCTAAATTTGAATCAGTTCGGTTTAAAAACAAAAAAGTGGGTACCTATACTATTATTACCCATCATTCTTATTCACTGAGATATTTTTACTATAGCTAGGTAGGTAGGCTTTATACGACATTAAAATACATTCTTGTAAAAATATAACTGCAATTAATAGTATTGAAACATTTTGAAAATAATGTGTTGAACACGGAAAATTATAATATACTAGGTATGACATAAATTGTAAACTATAAATTAGAGGTATCTCTTTACTTTATTTTTAAATTCATTAACTACACTCTACGAGTATTATAATAGAATTTAGGTATAATACTGTGCATGCCAGTGTGTATACATCAATTTTTATGCGCATAAGCCCTATAATCCGGTGAGCCTTTGCTGTGCCATTTGACCAATCAACCGTGTTCTTGATCTAATAAGACGTAACAAGCGTTGGTATACGAATTAAGCCATAACATAAAACAACGTTACAAACAATTAACATTATAACATATTATATTATTAATCATCCAGTAAAGTTATAATAGGCTCAAATTAAGGAATTATAGGACTGTTGTTGTATTATAATATTATCGTACAAAATATGCCTGAACTCGGGTCGCCCGTTTTTAAGGAGTTTTATATAGGACATTTATAGGAAATTAAAAAATATATTAAGTTTAATATTACATGCCATTGCCGTTCATTGTTGCATGCTTTCCGATATTATGTAGAGATTCATTAATAATACTTCGACTCTGGTCGGCCATAATCATATTACATTATAGTTATTAGTGATTATACACTAAGATTAGCATAAACCAGTCTTATTAGGTATACATTTGAAAGAAGATAATATTTTGGAAACAAATGAATAACATTAATAATGTATCGACTTTTTAAAAAAAAAATACTGTGTATTTACTTTACAATAAATTTAAGGTGCGAAAAATCCCACAGTCATCAAAAATGTGTAGTCGAATAGAGTAATATACTATTTTTCATTAAAAAGTGCGATATCTTATCTGTTTACGAGTTTTATCTGTTCGAAAGACAAAAAATAGATTTGTTTTCGTCAAAAAAAACCATTCAGTTCGAATATAACAATAATATACACGTACGAATGGCATTTTTGATATAATAATATTACAATACTAATATGTGTCGGTGTATTGTTGTGAAAGAATTGTCGAGAAAATGCAAACCACTAAAAAATTGCTTTAATAGTCGCACGTGAATCCGATTGGTATCTGCTCCAGGTCATTCGCTTGGTTAAGTGTCGTAGATCATTATATTTGGGTAAATGCAGAAACCGAATTTAAAAATAAATCATAAATATATAATACTCAAAACGTAGGTACCTACTGCGTCCGCAGTTGATCAGTGTTAGGTACGAAACGCGTTCGGGTATATAATAATTGTACTGTGTGAAACTAGTCTTGTGATTGCTTGTGCTGGGGATATTATGGGACATTTTATTATCGTATACAATCTGCAGTTACGAGTTAACGACCTAAGTGATTACACTCTTTTAACTTATCTACTAAAATATGTTAAGTGACAAAAAATAAAAGATTGCGTTTTAATAATGGCTATTAAATAGGTACCTACATACATTTATACAAAATATTTTAAATAATGGTTTAGAAGATAATATTCTTAATCAATTAGTCCATGCAATAATTATAATAATTATTAGCACTTTTATTATATTACAAACTCTCTCAAAATATTCGCGTTTCACACGTTATTGTAATGTTTTCTTCATAAAAAAAACATACATTTTTACTCAATTACAATGTCAATGATCTATATCAGTGGTCTTGGGGGTCTCGAAATTTTAATAGAAGGTGGCCAATAATTTAACGCCAAAAGTACTGTATAGTATATATATATAATATTTAACGTAATTTTGGTAGGGGGTTGCCTAGACGAAACAAATAAATTTGAGGGTCGTAGATAAAAAGTCGCTCACTGCTGATCTATGTGATCCAACCGAGAACGTATTTGTCAAAAAAAATGTCTAAAACGTTCCACATCAATCGCTTGTGTAGTTGTGTAGAAAATGGTGGCCCCGGGGACATTAATAGTGCCTTATTTTGGGAATGAATACAATATCACATGTGCGCCTGCATAATATGTTGCTAAACGCGTGTAAACTGTGTGCCTACCTTCTTTGATGAAACAGACATATTATGTGTACACCGTTAAATGTTTTATGTTTACCTCTGTTTAACACAATAAGCGAATGTTCAATACTTAATTTATTTATGTTAATGAATTACAGGGCAGGTGTAACCGAGAGAAACCGCCGTGCAAATATTTCCATCCACCGCAGCATCTCAAGGACCAGCTGTTGATAAATGGTCGTAACCACTTGGCCCTAAAGAATGCATTAATGCAGCAAATGACTATGGCTGCTAGTCAACAGATAGTACCGGGGCAAGTTCCTACAGCAGTGGTGAGTTCATTAAACTTGTATATTACTTACGTCCTAAACGCATAAATATAATTTCAGTTAAAGTACACGAATTAATTTATACAGGTGTAATAATGACGCTATATAATATAATATGTCCACGGGGGGGCACATTCGCTTTATTAGATCAGAAAATGTTTCTCTTTGTGCGCGCGCGCACACACACACACACACACACACGCATAACTATAGTATGTCCTACATGATATACGAGCACCCTGCAGAAGGATTTACGATTTATTTGATTACATTTTGGAAGTAAAAACATTTTTTTATGTAAAACGAACGATTTAACGATAATATCTTATAATCTACATAATCCTTCGCTGATTCAGGTGTATAACCACGTATAATCGCAATTTAGCGCGCATTAATAATTTAGCTATTATTATTATTGGTGCTTGTAAACGTTCGGAATAAATAACATTTGTTTTCAAATATCCACTAATCGGTTTAACTGTCAATAAATATTATGATGATATTTAGTGAATCGCTGTACTGTTTGTGATATTATTATTAGTACTGGGCAACTGAGATATACCTATTTGTTTTCATTATTGTTCTTGCGGATGATTTGAATTCGAAATTTCATCGTTAATAATTGAATGGGTCGGTGTTTTTGTGATATAGATACAACGTACTTTTAGCAATAATAAAAATAACAGTTAGTGGCAGGTGCTGTTAATGCATCATGGAATAAGAAACCAGGGAAAAAAACCACAAAAAAATCACGAAACTAAAAACCAAATTTGTATATTTTTCTATTTGGTCATATTTTGTTAGACATTAAATCTAATTTTCTAATTATAAATTATTTATATCAATAATTATCCAACTGACCTGATTCTCTGGTTAGGTATAGGTAATCATACTTTTATCACAAAGTTAATAAATAATAAGTAAATTAATGAAATACAGCTAATGCATAATATGATTATAATATAATCCAAAACAATTATTGTATAAAAATAAAATAAAATGTTTCAAGTAGATTTCTGTTGAATTTCACATGGTTTATTTTAAAACAATTGTCAAATAAAAATTTGGTTAATCCAATGAAGTAAAACAATTAAAATAACGATTAAAAATGTTGTCATATAGGTATATCTATATGTCAACATAATATAAATAAAAAAAGATATATTTTTTTAATTATTTAAATGCAACTTTAGAGAAATATCATTTTAATAACAATTATTATATTGATCCGAATATTTTTGTTATCAGAACTAGTGTCTAATAAAATACACATATTTGGTTTTTATTTTTATGGTTTTTTTAAGTTTTGGTTTTTTCTACGTTTACCGTGTTGATATTAAGTTGACTTTGTGCGATAAGGGTGACAACATTAATACAGCATAATATTACTATCATATTATGATCGTGGACGGTTATCAAAAATAATATTGACGGAAGCTTTGGGTAGAGCAAAGGGCAAGGATTCATGGTGAAGGTATTATATGCTGTTGGTGGAGTGAAACACCCCGACGTTTAATATTCAATACTATTGTTCGTTTTTTTTTCCTACTATACGAATTATTTGTTACCGTCGCGATTGTCGTACATCCCGAGGGTGAAGTATTACAATAATTATACGTTGGAAATAGTATAAAGGCAAAACCCCGCTTTGATTTTTAATTAATCAATGACATTTGTTATAAATTATTATCCTGCCGTGGTTGCATAATGCATATTGTGCTTCTACATATTATTACTATCGTATGGTTTCAGTACGTGCAGTTTACGGTTCCGATCGCTATAATATTATTATATAGGTAGCACCGATGGTAATAATATTTTAGTTTTTTTCTCGTTCGGCATATCCCAGTTAGATTTATAATTATTTCGTGCGTTTCAGTGGCAATAATTTCATCTTTCCCCGAATAGATTTTAAATATTTTTATTCTATCGCTCAGCATCAAAATGACAATACGTTGCCCCTCACGCTGAAATAAAAACATAATTTCGAGTACCTATATACTTATAAAGCAAAACATTCCTGGGAAATCACACAACCCCTGACCGACAGTTTTCCCGCACTCCCACAAAAATATTTATTTTGTACAATACTTTTAGTAGACAACACATTTTTTTCTTAAATCGAGAGTATCACGCCCATCGTGTGATCTAAGGCTGTACTTTAAAAGTGGGTTTAGTGAATTAAGTACTTATAGTACTTACATAAAAATGCTTGGAAATAATTTTAAATTTCTATTAAGTATTTAAATAGTTGAGTTTAAACAGTTCTACAGATAAGTATGCTAAAAGTATTGGCGGGCTGTTGTGCGAGTATAATAAAATTAATAAGCTGTATTTATATTAGAATTGTAGACTGGATCATTTTTCTCCAAAAATTAGATGCCGATTTCCTCCCACTATTTATTATTATCAAAACAAAGAAAAAAAGGCAATTTCCACTTTCCTCTACACATTTGTTTAGACTAGAAACATGTCTATTTTCCTTAAAATATTAAAACCATAATACATTAATTTTGTAACTATTACATTTATTTATTTTATTGTTATCATGTATGAAGTTAATACATTTTTTCTTTCATAATATAAATATATATATATATATAATATTATAATTTGTACGATAAATTGTACGTTATAACTTAAGTTTATTACATAATATTTAATGTTTACATAAAAATGTATATAACGCTAAATTATTCTTGGCCAGAAAATGACGGATAACCTATTCAAAGTAATAAGTGGATGCGACAATTTTTATTTTAATAATGGAGGAAAACGGTCTCGATTTGTCTTGGTTTTTTTTTCGGAGAAGGAAAATGAACAGTGGAGGAATTTGGGATGCGACCGCCGCGATGGTAGCTTAGCGATTTATCGTTTTTCGCAGGAGCACCGAGTACGATTTATATCGCTATGAATAATACGAAAATAAAGGCGAAATGAAAAATAATATTATATTATAATATTACATTTTACGAGAAGCCTCTGTAGTTCCTCTGTGTGTTCCGGCCAGTACGCATAATGTCAATCGACGTTAATGCGAGTTTGTTGGCGTTCAAGACGAAGGCACGGGGCAACCGATGAGACGTCTTGTCGTTCCGAATCGATACAAACCAATAACTCACCGAAATAAGATGAGACACGAAATCGATATTTTTTATTATTATTCGTCCCGAAAATTTTACATCAGCGCCGACCGACTTTGTAAATAATAAAACAAATGGGCATATCGAGAGCGTCCAATACCTACCGCTTAAATGTACTTCAGATATACCTTTTTATCAGAGAAAACGTCATACTTCGTGTTTTATTCTTCATAATATGGTCATATGGATGACGTTTGTACATTGCAGAAGTGATATATTGACCGTCATCCTTTATTCGCGAGGTGACAATTTTTTTTTTTAATATCGTTTAGTTCGGTCATCCGTATAATATTATAATATATTGTCTTTTAATTGAACTCCCACGACATCGTGAAAGTGTGTATTCAATTATTGAATTGTATCGAAGCGTTATAGACTGTTGATGACAATAGTATTAACTATTAAATGGAATTGAATAAAAAAAGAATAATAACAATCATTATATCAATCAATTATTGTTTAATGGCTATGGCATACAGCCAATTTCTGTAAAATTTTATATTTTATATTTAAACATTTGAAAGGTAACCATCTTAATTATTATTAAAAAAAAAAATGAATTGATTGTATTTCTTATTGAACAACATAACAAATTTTAATTTGTAAGATTGTATGTATTTTGTGATCTAAAAGTTTAAAACAGTAAACACAATAATCCCAATATTATATACCATCTGTGTAACTTAAACTATGAAAATGTTCAATGTATATTGATATTATCATATTCGACCTATCTATGCCTCCGCTAGAAAAAACAAATACCAGGACCAATGGAGGGGAGACTTGACCTCCTGGCAGGTTAAAAAAGCAATGATGAGAACCTCCCTCTTTTTCTGCGAGTTGTTAAACAGATGATTTGTTTGAAAATTCTGATGTATTGAAATCGGAATTCAAACGAATAGTTCCTGAATTATTCTACTATGTAAGATCTAAGGTTTATGGTTTATTGAATATTTGAATATAATATTATAATGTTTAGCTTGGTACCTATGGGTAATACATAAAACATTAAAGTGATGTTGATCAGTAATTTTTACTCTGCATCAGTATTTGTTTTTTTTTTTCAAATAATATGTTTTATGTATAACCCATGTTTGGTTGCGGTCTTGGTCGACGATGATAACAATAGTTATAAAAATATAACAATAAATATGGTAACAAAAGCTCGAAAGCTGCCGTATGTGCACGCTTTCCAATATCTCGTCGGTCCAGTCGTGGTATAGAGGAGGTACCTACTTCTGTCTCGCAGCTCATGTTTATTTTATTATAAATTATAATATATATTTGAATAGTTGGCATTACGTTTTCTTTTTAATGAATATTTCGTTAAATAAACAATAAACAGCTCCAAGTTAATCCCATACGAATTATCTGCTTCATTATAGTCCTGCAGTGTCCAATAAATTCCGGTGTACGAAACAAAATGTATTATACGTATTAAGTACATAGGTACTTAACTGACTAAGTAGTCATTATCAAATACATAAATTGAATAAAGTGAAGCTCAGAATCTACTCTTCTTAATTTTATTAAGTCATTTTACATCAGAGTTTAAAAAAAAAAGAAAAAAGACCCGCCTCGAATGATTCACGGACAAAAATGAAATCTACATATTTTGGAAAAACGCCACTGCAGTTATGTTATACATTTATACCTATGCGGTCTTTTTATGTCGTCACAAATTTAAGTATTTGAAAATACTGTCTTTGAGTACTTTATATTAGTACCTACCCACTTTATTTGCTCTTTTTATGCTTTGGTACCCACCTACTTAAAATGTCCAAAAATCAGAATTATAAGAAATAACGCACAATATTCAAGCATAAGAATGGGGTGAGCTGAATGGTGAGACAAATCACC